TTGACTCGATCAAGATCATTTTTCTTTTAAAGTTTAAAATAATTAACAGCAGCTAAATTTAGTGATTTAGATGACAAGTTATTTATTCTTCCTCCCCTTCAGCTTTTCAACACACTAGATCCGAGCTTTAATGCTAGGTAACAGCAGCCACTGCAGCAGACTGAAGATGCTGAGTATAAATGTAGCTAGCTAGGGTGAAGAAAGGCTCCAAAACAGTCGAGAATGGGGGAAGAGAAATCAACTCAAAGGTTTTGCTAATTAAAAAAAAAAAAAGTAAAATTTGAATATGAACTGCTTTCCAAAGCAACATACAAGTAACTTGATCACATTTTCTTTCCCAATTCCACCTTGACCTAAACGCTTCACTTCCAAGTTTACCAAGCACTTCCTACCCGTGTTTAAAGCAAAACCTGGAGAAGACAGCAAAAGTTACTTCATTCCAAAGAGATCAGCAGCAAGCTGGGAAAGAACAAGTTTAAGATGTTTTTAAAAGGCAGTGTATCCTTTTCAATTTCCCCAATTTAAAGATAACGGAATATACTATTCCTATTTTTGTTCCTTCAGTTACACCAGAAACTGAGATTCTGTGCACAGCATGTTTATGCTGAGAGAACCAGGACCTCCAATACAATTGCTGCAAGAATACTGAAGGCTCAGACAAGAAAGCTGCAAGTCTAGTACTGACCAAACAAGTAACACTGACTGGTTTAATCTGCATCACGCTTTGATAAGAAAAACAAAGCAGTTTTAAGCTACGTTATCACCTCAGTCTGCAGTTTGAAGTTCAGGAGAATTGTGTATGAGTCATTTGCATGCTTTTGAAATGCCACTGTAGACACCTCAAATTAAAAGTTTGCTGTTGTGTTCTGAGCTCCAGTTACTGATAAAACTATTTAGTTGTCACTATTGCCCTCAAAAAATAGTTCTGTTTTGAGGTAACAGAATCATAAGCCTTTAAAGGAATGCTTAATTTAAGAAGTACCTGGATGCTGCAAATTTTTATACAAGGAGGCCTGCTGAAGTCAATAGGATGAATAAAATAAGATTAACATGTAAAGCAGGTTTAAATTTGTGACCAGCTTTTTTGTAAAATCTAAATAGATGAGGGCAGTATGGGACATTAAGAGCGTGTAGCATTATTGCAATTAATGATGCAAAGATTTTCCAAGTTACTTTAGATCATGTTCTGTCCCACTCTGAATTCTACAATCAGGTTCTCCCCAGAAAAAAAAAAAGGGAGTGCTTTTTATGTTACACGTTCACACTTCTGTTTTGATGAATGAAAGCCAGAGTAAGTCCTGTTGTCAAGGGGAACAGGCTTAAGCCATAAGGACTGCATTTCATTACTGCATTTGTCACGTTATCAAAACAGCCTATCAATCCATGCCAGCTTTTCACTAGGAAAAACTAAAGGTCTCAGAGGAGCATCACTGCTACCAAATGTACCCTGAAGAACTGCTTCATGCACTGTGGGAGGCAAGAGCCACTACCACACCTAGCTAGCAGCATGCAGTTCAGACTGATTACTGGTGGTTGGGTAGATGATCCTCCTGGGGTTTTTTGCACGGGTAGCGAAACAAAAGCAGAACATGCAGGCAATTTGTTTTATTACTTTTTCAGAGTCCTTGAGAAGACCAAGGAACAAAAAGGACTGCCATTTTAAAGAGTCATTAAAGTGTAAGTACTTTTTGTCCCATAAACAATTAAAATCAAACCAAAAGAAGGATAAACCATTCAAGCCCATCTAGCCCAGCACAAAGAAAAGACCACAGCTGAAGGACTACTTTTCATAGAATCATAGAATGGTTAGGGTTGGAAGAGACCTCAAAGATCATCTAGTTCCAACCCCCCTGCCATGGGCAGGGAAATCCTCCAGTACACCAGGTTGCCCAAAGCCTCATCCAACCTGGCCTTGAACACCTCCAGGGATGGGGCATCCACAACCTCCCTGGGCAACCTGTTCTAGTACCTCACCACCCTCAATGTAAAGAATTTCGTTTTATATCTAACCTAAATCTCCCCTCTTTCAGTTTAAATCCATTGCCCCTTGTCCTATCACTACACACCCTTGTAAAAAGTCCCTCTCCAACTTTTCTTTATTCCTACCTTATTCTGGAAGGTGGTACAACGAACTTCTGAGACTCTATGCTGGTTCTGGCTGGAATAGAGTTAATTTTCTTCACAGGAGCTAGTGTGGGGCTGTTTTGATTTGTGTCAAAAACAGTGTTGATAACATAGGGATGTTTTTGTTACTGCTGAGCAGTGCTGACACAACATCAAGGCCTTTTCTGCTTCTCACCCCACACCACCAGCCAGCAGGCTGGGGGTGCACAAGGAGCTGGGAGGGGACACAGCTGGGACAGCTGACCCCAGCTGACCAAAGGGATATTCCAGACCATAGGACCTCACACTCGGTATATAAAGCTGGAGAGAAGGACGAAGGGGGGGACGTTGGGAGTGATAGCGTTTTGTCTTCCCAAGTCACTCTTACAAGTGATGGAGCCCTGCTTTCCTGCAGGGCTGCCCACCTGCCTGCTCATGGGAAGTAGTGACTGAATTCCTTGCTTTGCTTTGTGTGTGTGTGCAGCTTTTCCTTTACCTATTAAACTGTCTTTATCTCGCCCCACGAGTTTTCTCACACTTCCAATTCTCTCTCTCATTGCACTGCAGGGAGTGAGGAAGCGGCTGCGTGGGGCTTAGTTGCCAGCCAGGATTAAACCATGATAGACTCTCCCATACCACCCCCAGATACAAACACACCTTCTAACTGTCCTCTAAGGAAGGCAAGAAAAAGAGGCTATTTTAGAGACAGCCTGCTTAATTCCTTTTTCTGCAACGTCCTGTAAAGTGAGCAGTCAGGGATTTTTTCATCTGCCTGTACAATACCTAGCACACATGCAAGCCACTTAGGTCAAGGCACCTGAGTCTTTAATGCCTTACTATAGTAAAGTTGAATCACTAAAGAAAATATTCCATGCATGTTACAGCAACAGGGAAATAAAAAAAAAAATAATACTACAGACCAAGTTTTCACTAATCTATATCCTGGACTGACACCCACTATTATCTTTTATTGAAAATAAGTAGCTCGGCTGTCTTTGTCAGAACAGTTACCTGCTCATGCAAGTGCAGACAACAGAGAATGG